GCCCCCCCCCCGCCTACCTGCGTGCGCTAAAAATGCCTCTCGAGCCTTTCTTTCCGCCCCTCGGCCCTTCCCCGCCTCCTCCGGGGTCTTCTTCTTTCGGAGCCGGAGCGCGGGGAGGTCGAGTCATCTGGGCGTCCACTGCGGGGGCGCGGTGGAGCTCCTGGGGGTCGGGCCGCGGAGGGGACCAGCCTCCGAGGGCGGAGCGGCGAGGCGAGACGCCCGAGGAGCGAGGCGCTTGTTCCCAGCCAGCTCTTGGAGGAGGAGGAAGAGGAGAAGCCCCCCGGAGGAGTCTCTGGCCGGCCAGCCGGGGCGCCCCCTCGGGTCCCGTCCCGAGCAACTTTCCTTGGCCGGCTGGGCACGAATCGGCGGAGCCTTGGACCCTGCGGACCGCCCGCCCGCCTCGGGAGCTGTCCCAGGTCCTGAAGACAGACCGGGAGGGGCCCATCGCGCCGCCTTCCCCGCTGGGCGGGGCCAGCCCAAGCCTGCCTAGAGCGAGACCCTCTCTGGGAGTAGAGAGCAAGGGCAGTCTCTGGACCCAAAGGATTCTGGGAGACCAGAAAGGCACCACCCCATCTGATTCGGCTTGGCCAGGCAGACCCCCTCCAGGACCATGCTGGATGAGGCAGCCGGGGTGGAGTTCAACGGGTCCCTCTTGGTCTTGAACAGTTCAGCTTGCACCGCAGGGCTGCCCTGTGCCAACGGCTCAGAGCCAAGGAGCCCCCCACGCCTGGTGGACGCCTGGCTGGTCCCCCTCTTCTTTGCCGTGCTGATGGTGGTCGGGCTGGCGGGCAACTCCTTGGTGATCTTTGTCATCAGCAGGCACAAGCAGATGAGGACCGTCACCAACTTCTACATTGGTGAGACCGGCCGGGGTGGTGGTGGTGGTGGTGGTGTTCCCTGGGGGAGAGATGCGGGGCAAGTGATGTGGGTCAGTGGGTGTGGGGCGAGAAAGGGTCCCTCCAATGGGAGGCATTGTTAGTGCTTGGATTTGGCTTTACGGTGGCACAACACAGCCAAATCTGATCGGGATGACCAAGTGCTTTTGCCACCTTAGGGGGCCAGTGCCCCTCCAGCCCACATCGAGGCTTGGCAAGAAGTGACTGCTTGCCTTCTTTGCTGCGCCATCTACAGGCCACCTGCAAGGGGAGGAGGAGAGCTGCCAGCCATGCCTCTGTTTCCTTTGGAGGGAAGGATAAAAAGAGCCGGCTACCCACGGCTACCCACGGGGACCATTCGGGAACCTCCTGGGCTTTTTCTTATTGTGGCAGACTTGGATGCCGAGGGCAGCCAGGGGTGATGGGCAGGGGAGGGGTAGGGATTTATTTATTTACTTACTTTATATAATCCCACCTTTCTCTCCAATGGAGACCCAAATGGGCTTATGTCATTCCCCTCTCCTCCATTTTATCCTCACCACGACCCTGTGAGGTAGGTTAGGCTGAGAGTGTGTGACCGGCTCAAGGTCACCCAGCAAGCATCCAAAGAGAACTTTTTCTCCCTCTCCCAAAATACTAGAGCTCGAGGGCATCCAATGAAACTGATGGGCAGTAGGTTCGGATGGACAAAAGGAAAGACTGCTTTACACAGAGAGTGATTAAAATGTGGAATTCGCTGCCAGAGGATGTTGGGATGGCCACAGGAATAAATGGCTTTAAAAGGGGATTTGGATAGCTTCATGGAGGAGAAGTCTGTCATGGTGAGTGAGGGGAATCTCTTGAAATCACAGTCTGCTCCCTGGTTGGTAGTTCAGCAGTTCGAGACCCGAGTGCCGCATGATGGAGTGAGTCCCCATCTCTGGTTCCAGCTCCTGCCAACCTAGCAGTTCGAGAGCAAGAAATTGCAAGTAGATAAATAGGTACCACTTCAGTGGGAAGGTAACAGTGTTCCGTGCGCCTCGGCATCTAGTCACGCCGGCCACATGACCACAGAAACGTCTTCGAACAGCGCTGGCTCTTTGGCTTTGAAACGGAGATGAGCACTGCCCCCTAGAGTCGGATTCGACTGGCTTTCGAACAAGGGTAACCTTTACGTTTACTACCTAGTTAGTATAGATAATCATAACCTGAGAGCAGCCTTCACATCCTTGCATTTTGAATGAATGCCAAACGGCCACATTAGCCGGCCGCTACAGTAGAACAGCTAAGGAACAGCGCTTTTATATTTGCGGCTCTTCTGTTATCAAGGATTTTCCCCATTATATTCTTGAATGCTCAATGTATGCCCAACCTAGGTTAAAATTTCTCTCTGGGATTCTATCAGACTTACATTTCCACTCTGATTCTGAGAAGATTGTATTCTTGTTAGCTGATTTCAACGCCAACATATCCTATAGAATGTCTTTATATGCCTTGGCTGCAAGGAAAATACGGGCTAACGCTGTTCTTATGGGAACAGATTAATATTGATCTTAGCAGATAACTTTTGATTACATTTTATACTGATTGTATGGTTTTATTATATCTTACCTTTTACTCTAATCCTTGGTTTGTAATGGCTTATGGCTAAATACAAATAAATTTCTATTTAATTTCGTTTGAGTGAGGGGAACCTCCTCATTCAGAGGTACTAATCCTCTGAATCCCGGAGCCAGGAGGCAGCATCAGGGGAAGGCCTCAGCCTCTCTACCCTGTTGCTGGCCCTCCAGAGGAATTGGTTGGCCACTGTGTGAGACAGGATGCTGGACTGGATGCACCATTGCCCTGATCCAACAGGGCTCTTCTTATGTTCTTATCAGCAAAGGCCTCGGCCTCTGTACCCTGCTGTTAGCCCTTCAGAGGAACTGATTGGCCACTGTGTGAGACAGGATGCTGGACTGGATGCACCATTGCCCTGATCCAACAGGGCTCTTCTTATGTTCTTATCAGCAAAGGCCTCGGCCTCTGTACCCTGCTGTTAGCCCTTCAGAGGAACTGATTGGCCACTGTGTGAGACAGGATGCTGGACTGGATGCACCATTGCCCTGATCCAACAGGGCTCTTCTTATGTTCTTATCAGCAAAGGCCTCGGCCTCTGTACCCTGCTGTTAGCCCTTCAGAGGAACTGATTGGCCACTGTGTGAGACAGGATGCTGGACTGGATGCACCATTGCCCTGATCCAACAGGGCTCTTCTTATGTTCTTATCAGCAAAGGCCTCGGCCTCTGTACCCTGCTGTTAGCCCTTCAGAGGAACTGATTGGCCACTGTGTGAGACAGGATGCTGGACTGGATGCACCATTGCCCTGATCCAACAGGGCTCTTCTTATGTTCTTATCAGCAAAGGCCTCGGCCTCTGTACCCTGCTGTTAGCCCTTCAGAGGAACTGATTGGCCACTGTGTGAGACAGGATGCTGGACTGGATGCACCATTGCCCTGATCCAACAGGGCTCTTCTTATGTTCTTATCAGCAAAGGCCTCGGCCTCTGTACCCTGCTGTTAGCCCTTCAGAGGAACTGATTGGCCACTGTGTGAGACAGGATGCTGGACTAGCTGCACCATTGGCCTGATCCAGCAGGGCTCTTCTTATGTTCTTATCAGCAAAGGCCTCGGCCTCTGTACCCTGCTGTTAGCCCTTCAGAGGAACTGATTGGCCACTGTGTGAGACAGGATGCTGGACTAGCTGCACCATTGGCCTGATCCAGCAGGGCTCTTCTTGTGTTCTTATGTTCATAGCACAGTGAGCCTTTGAACCTCTGAATACCAGTATCAGGAGGCAATGTCAGGGGAACTCCTTGGTATCTGTGCCCTGCTGTTGGCCCTTCAGAGGAACAAGATGCTGGACTAGATGGACCCTCACTGGTCTGATCCAGCAGGGCTCTTCTGATGCTCTTACACTATTAATAGGTGGGAGGCAGGAAATGGGAGCAGCAAGGTGAGGCTTAGCTAAATCATTCAAGGAGTGTTTCAAAATCCTGCACTTTGGCCCACAGCTGAATGGAGGGCAGGTGTCTATCTCGGCTCCCCTTCCACGATGAAAAAGGAGGAAGAGAAACTAAACCAACCAAGCAAGAGCCAAAACCTTCAACGGAAGTTTAGAAAACTACTAAGGCGCCAAAAGTTAAAAAACATCAACAAAAGTACACATGTTTATTTCAAAAACAGTTAAAAACCTTGCTGGGCAAATCCCTAGCTGGGAAGGGGTGTGGCTTAGAGGCCGAGTGTCCGCTTTGCATGCAGGAGGTCGTAGATTCCATCCCCAGCTAAAAGGATCTGCTGGTAGGTGATGTGAGTGGCCTCTGCTAGGATCCTGGAGAGCCGCTGCTAGTCTGTGTAAACCAGGGGTGCCCAAACTTGCGCAACTTAAGAGCCACATAGAATAAATGTCAGATGTTTGAGAGCCGCAAGGCACGAACAAATATCACACACGCCTTTTAAAAAGATATATATATATGTAGGCTCCGGTCACACGGGCAGGAAACTGCGGGGGGGGGGGGGGGTGGCTGTGTGCCC